ATCTGCAAGATTGTCTATGGGCATTGAGGTAAGCAGTTGATGCAGTTTTGTGTCTGTATATTTGGTGTCATTGCAGCATGTATCATTCTTCCTTATCATATGCTTCAGATGTAGTTGCAGTTGGGTTTTCATTCTTTTATCCCCGAACCCCTATCTGTCACCTCTTTCCCCTACCTTTTGACCTTTTAACAAGTTCTCTTTGACATCTGCTTTCAAGAAAGAACTGACTTTACATGTTGGCCTTGCCTGTATGTGATGCATCAAACGTCTCCTTGTTCTCTTACTATATTATTTTTGTTTATTACGAGGACAAATAGACAATCATGAGGTTTAGAGCCTTCTGAAAGTGGTTGCACAATCTCTTCCCTGGAAATTTGTTGGTTTGTTAATTCCAATCGTATGTCACTAGGCTTTAGTTGAAATGACAATTAATTTATACTTGATGCACGGCAATTAAATGAATTTGGTCTTAACAGCAGTGGAGTAGTGATGGCAATGGTTTTAAATCCAACCCATGCCTACCAGTTACGCGGGCATTATAATTGTTCAGTTGCTACTGTCCTTTGTCCTAAATATTTGCATTTAAACAGGGATGTTCACTGAGAATTGAATGAGACAAGTATTATATGTGTGAATGTTTGAAGGAGTGAACTTGATATTATGTGGTTAGTCATTATGAATGACTGACTTGTGCAAATCTTGTGTAAATGGAAGTGTTTCGGGGATTTTGGACTGAATAATCTGTTTAATTTGTAAACTATGCAGATGCAACATGGACGCAAAAGCAAAGAAAAGAGTCAACCGAAGTGCGAGATCGAGTTTGAACTCTCTGCCTTTGATTGCCAGAAAACAAGGCTGAACCCAACCACCATCAGGTACTAGTGATTCTCAAAGCTACTTTTTGCTTAAACTCTTGAGAATTGGTTTTTAGGCAAGAATGGTTTGATTTCTTCAGCCAACTTAGTGATGCTGAGTTCTCAAGGTGCCATTGAGAATTGGCACATATCAGGTAATAAAATCATGCAAGTTTTGCCCTTGTGGACACCTGACAGTTTGTTATCAAGCTTCGGGTCTCAAAATATGCAGCAGCAGGAATGCTCCATCTCTCTAATAAATGAAGACACATAGTCCCTTCTAATGAAAGATTAAGTAGTTTATGTTTTCATGATTCTTTTGGTGTATGGTAATAGTGACATGACACTATTTTTTGTTGTAAATAATTTTGATATTTAAATATATTTTCATTTTGAAATTTTGTGTGTAGCATTGTTGATGATATATATAACATATAAAATAAAATTATGGCAACATCAAAATAATAAAAATAATATATATTATTTCGGATTTTGGATATTCCTGTCAATAGTTGGAAGGAACTTCACATTTTTACTTTTCCATTCTCCCTTAGCTTTAATTAGTATCCTACTTATACTATATAACTCTCCCCATTTTGATAAGACCTTGTCATATGCACCAACAAAACGTTCACTCATCAACATTCTTTCAATTCCCTTTCGCACTAAATTAAATCATCTTCTCCACAATTTCAAGCACTCTTTCCATTCTAACATTTTATGTGGTAATTCCAATCTATTTTGATATATACATAAAAAGATGGCGGGTGGTGGAGGAGGAAAATCGCTGGAGGAAACGTCGACTTGGGCGGTCGCAGTGGTGTGTTTTGTTTTGGTTGCAATTTCGATTGTGATTGAATACATCATCCATCTCATAGGAAAGGTTAGTTATTGGTTTTGTCCTATATGCTATTGCTCTTCATCTTTTTGTTAGATCATGAAATGTCTAAGTAAGCTCTAACTATATAGAAACATATTTAAACATGTACCATAGTCAGACTAATTAGAGCAAATAATTGCCCAATTATCCGTGCAGTGCGCGTGCAATGTGCGTGCGATGCACGGATAATTTTTTTTTTGTTATATATTTAGATAATAAAATTACGTTATTAGTTTTAAAGATTTTAATTTTGGTAGGGCCCTTATTTATTTACCCGAACAGGGCCACAAAAATCTAAAAATTATATATTGAAGATCTGTAAAACCTAAACAATTATGACAGCAACATACTGTAAAATCTCACTACACACCTTTAAAATTGACACTATTTAGTGCATACAGAACATAAAGAAGTCAATGGCATTTGTACTAGTTAATAATGTAAGTTATAACAAATCATCATCATCATCATCATCTTACAAACAGAAACTATATCCAAAATAACATAAAGCCACACTAGTCATATATACAAAAATCCACTTTTGTTGTCCACAAATCATGGTTGTTATGATTGAAGCAAGGGTGGCTTGGAGTGAAAGACTCGGCACCAATTCCCATGCACGGCATAATCTTTCCCTCTCTCTAGGATATGCAAAGGGTGGTTCATCCATGTGGACCACTCACTATACCATGATTCACATAAATCACTAGAAAATTTATGCTAGCATATATAGTGTATGGATATTGAAGGTGGTTTTTAGTTGTCATTGCAACCCGAGAAATGGTAATCATGATACACTGCAATGTAAGAAAAAATTGATATAACAAATTAATAATAAAATTAATCTAATAAATAATAAAAATAACTTAAAACTAAATTAATTAAATACCTGACACAAGACTATGGCTGCGCATGAGAAACACAGCACCCACCGCCTCCCGAAACGAGGAATTAAAGTCGCGGAAGCAATACAATTAACAGAAAAGACAATTATACTGGCTACTAAAACTAGGATAAAGGTATTACCCACCCATACCCCAAAAAACTCTAATACAGAAGGTGCGAAAAAAATTAGTAGATCTAAAGCAATAAGTATTAGATTAAAAATTTAAAAAAAAAAAAATTAACTCCCGAACAATTCCAACACCTAGTCCAATCATGAAATACATGAATACATAGAGACTACTAATACGGGCCCAATAATCAAATTGTGCCCGCGTAGCCACTCGCCCACAATTAATCCTGTGATTGTCCCAAAATAGACAAATACGTACATCAAAAACACCAAACTGTCCGTATATGTACAAAAGTTTGATGTTGCTGCCAAGTTGGAATTGATATATGCCGACCTCGATAGGATAAACACATACACGGGCATGTTTATCAATCCACCTAAGGTTCAAAATTTGTGCACACTATTATTATTATTCCATAATATGTCTATTTTTACATGTGCGTTGCACGGAAAAGATTTGTTATAATCTTTAAATTATAACAACGAATATTATATAGTGCAATTGATGAAATGAGTTGTATCGATTATGTTTTGTTATGCTATCCTTGCTTGAATTAGAGCAAATAATTGCCCAATTATCCGTGCAGTGTGCGTGCAATGCACGGATAAATATTTTTTTTTTGTTATATATTTAGATAATAAAATTACGTTATTAGTTTTAAAGATTTTAATTTTGGTAAGACCTTATTTATTTCTCCGAAGAGGGCCACAAAAATCTAAAAATCGGCCCTAGTGCATAAACATTATAATATCTAAGCATCTATCTATCTATATATAAAAATAAAATCTTCATGAAGAAACAAATATTTTTTTTGTAAATAAATATATATATATATATATATATATATATATATATATATATATATACACACACACACACACACACACACACAATATGAAGAGGCACATAAGATTTGTATTTATTATTAATATTAGTATTTTCTATGCGTGATAGACAAAAATAGATGCCCAAATTTTGTATTTATTATTAATATTAATATTCGTTTGAAACTTGCATTTTTTTTTTAAATCGAAAACTCAAGTCTAAAACGAATTTTATTTTATTTTTCTAAGAATATTTATGTTTTAAAATGATCTTATTTTTATCCACTCTATTTTTGTCACATTTCAGTCATAAACCCCACTCTAATTTTTATAATGCAAACGAAGCCTCTGACCCAATCATTATTACGTAGACCATGGTCCACAGTTGTGTGGACCAATATTCAAAAATACAAAGTACATTATTTTAACTAATAAAATACATTATTATATTCAAAATTTTTTATTATTCTAATACATAAAGTACACTATACATTTTTCTAACTCAAAATATATTATTCTAACACATAAAGTGTATTATTCTTACTCATAAAATACATTATCTTACCTTAAAATTTTTATTATTCTAACACATAAAATACATTATTCTAGCACATATAGTATATTATTCTAACATATAAAATACATTATTCTTACTCATAAAATATATTATCTTACATTTTTACCTTAAAATGTTTATTATTCTAATACACGCCAGAACAATAAATTTTTTTAATATAAAAAAGACATCATTCAAACAATAATTTTCCCCTGTGACCCATTTGGGCTAGGCACACAGTCCAATAACAGGCAAATTATGATGTGGATCCGGGTTCAAAACGAAGCTGTTTAAATTAAAATAAAAAATTACTTCCTTCCCGGGTTCAAAACGAAGCTGTTTAAATTAAAATAAAAAATTACTTCCTTCCTTGTGTTACTTCCTTCCTTGTGTTGTTAACTTGCCGTTTATTTTCAGAATCGTTCCTCTATATTCAGAATTTTAGAATTTTATATTCATAATTTTAGAACTCTATATTCACAATTTTTAGATCTCAATATATAAAATACAGAAGTCAATATTCACAATTACAAAATTGTATATTCAAACTTTTTTAATTCTATATTCACAATTACACAACTTTATATTCACAATCACAATTGTATAACTCTATATTCACAATTACAAAACTGAACATTCACTATTACAAAATTGAATATTCACTCCGAGTTGTTTTTTTAAAAAATCATTGATTGAAGAAATGGTGTCATTGATGGTATCATTATTTTTCACGGGCACAAACAAGACGAAGTCGGTTTGAACCTGGATCCACCTTGACCTTGCAAGAGAGACCTGGGTCCATCGCATAACAATTGCCAATAACATTACCCAGCAGCTTAAATTAAATGTTACGAGTAAATAAAATTGATCTTCGGTTAGGTTTCTAGATCATTCGCTTCAAAGCAACAACACAGTGGATGCAATGGTGATGGAGCTCATCTTTTCCCGCCCGTCCGCTATGGCCTCAGCAGCAGCCCTTGCACGGAAGTTCGTTTTCCGAAACACCGCTTCTTTCTCTATCTCTCCTTCTCTCCACCATTTTCGCACTGCAATTCCTAAACCACCGTATTTTGCGCCATTGCTGCCGCAGCGAAGCTTTTCGAGGAACGGAAGCAGGTTTTGCACCGACGCCGCCGAGCCGAAACGCAACACCTTGGTGAATTTCTCGCTATCCGACTCGGAAGACGATTCAGACTCGTCGGAGGAGATAAATCAAAAAGCTCCGGCGAAGGCGGCGGCGGCGGGTAAATCAAAACTACCTCCGCCGTACGATCCGTTTAGCAAGAAGGCGGTTATAGAGGAGCCGGACGATCCGAAGAACCTGCAAGATGTGTTCCACAAGATGCGGGCGGACGGGATGATCAACAATGCCGTCAAGATGTTCGACGGATTGTCCAGGGACGGGCTAACTCACGAGGCGCTGGAGCTCTTCTCGGTGATCAAAGACAAGTCGGAGATGCCGGACGTGGTGGCCCACACGGCGGTGATTGAGGCCTACTGCGACGCCGGCCAGCCCAAGGAGGCTCACAGAGTGTATCAGCGGATGCTGGTGTCCGGGGTGCTGCCCAATGCGTACACTTACAGCGTGCTGATCAAGTCCCTGGCCACCAGCGGTGATCCGAAGCTGGTAAAGGAGGCGAAGAAGTATGTGACGGAGATGGTGGAGAAGAGGGGAATGAAGCCGAACGCCGCCACGCTTGTCCGGAGCTTCGAGGGATTGGTGGAGGTAGGAATGGAGGAGGAGGGTAGAGAATTGGTGGAGATGGTGAAGAAGAAAGGGATTGTGCCTGAAGAGGGTAAAGTGAAAGAGGTGTTGAAGAACAAGAGAGGGCCTGTTTATAGGACATTGATGAGCATCCTCTATGGAAAATGATATGTAAGTTAAATTAAGCCTTTTTAGTTTTGAGTAATTTCTATATGATCCATCCCATTTTATACAAACTGATCGAGTCTATACTTTTGGGTATGGTGTACCCCGGATTCCGTCGAACACACTAATCTCTAGTTAAATTGTAAGCAATATTGTAAATGGCCGCCTGCCAACTAGGCGCTAGGCATCCTTAGGTCGAGACGATTTCAGTCTTAGGCAGCTTTCAACTAGGTGTGGATTCAGCGAGTTAGCCCTAGGCAACTTTTAATTGACTGAGTGCTTAACTCGGCCTTAGGCAGCTTTCGACTAGGTGTGGATTCAGTCGAGTTAGCCTTAGGCAGCTTTTAATGGACTGAGTGCCTAACACGGCCGAGTAATTACTCCTCTTCTATATTTCTCTAGCTTTGTATTCAACTAACCATCTAACAAATGCAGTTGACTAGTTCGGGAGATCATATAAGTCTAACAACTCCTAGCTCTGAGTGCGATGGGAATTGTACTCAACTAACCATCTAACAAAGTTGACGAGTGGGATGGGAATTGTACTCAACTAACCATCTAACAAATGCAGAATGCAGTTGACTAGTTCGGGAGATTATATAAGTCCAACAACTTCTAGCTCTGAGTGGGATGGGAAAAGTTGAGACGATATATTGGAATTACTTGGTTTGAAGCACAAAAAATCAATATTGCATCCACTAAGGTTCAAACCCACAACCTCCCACATAAAAAAACAATTTGATGCCATTAGACCACAAAGTCATTGGGACTTTTAGACTTCTGTGTGACTAAAGTTTCACTTCTAGAAATTGATGGGATAGTGACTTAGAGTAGGGATGCAAACGAGTGGAGGTCAGATTCAGGTTGCCTCAGAGTTCAACTTACATCGTTTACGGCCTTTAAAATTCTGCAATGTTCCCTACCACCATTTTAAGAGGAGTGCAATTTTCTCCAGTGAAACAAACTTGTATTTTCATGAGCAAAATGAAACATCTCAAGCATTTGGCATCATCTGATGTTCAATGTTGTCATGATTACTGAAGATAAATGATACAACTGCGACAGAAAGCATCACTGCCATTCTATTAAAACTAAAACAAAATATGGGCAATTTCAATATGACAATGTAAGAGTAGCCACCCTTGAAGATGCCATCTTTGATTTTTCACACAACAACATTGAATGAAATTTGAGTCATTTACTTTGTCAAATGTGAGAAAACCGTAATAGGGTGGCCTGCAAGGTAAAAATTTAAAGCTTTGATTTCAAGTCCAAAAGCAAATAAAGAATTTCACATAATAGAATATGGCACTCCCTATTACTATTACTGAGTACTAAACTAACCTCATATAGCTCATATTGTCAGTATAGGATCAACATGAACTTTCAGCCTGTGAAAACTGAGAAGCTAAGGTTGGATTCCAGCCGGTGATTATAGAACTGATCAAGACAGTTGATGTCGACGGGACCGGATCGGACCGGCAATCATTATTGTGCGGATCATATTTGGTATACTGTAAAATAATATACATTCAGTACACAAATAATATATATCTAGTACAAAAATAATGTAGATTTAATCTATTAAAAATGTACTTTTTGTTATGGTCCAAACAACATTGTGTGGACCATATTGCAGGTACCTTAGCTTCCCTTCCATCAAGCGATAGTTTGATCCTTCAATTCTAAGGAGACTGAATTTTATTTTCATTTCATTTCTTTTCCTAATAAAATAAAATGTTTGGTTAAAATTAATCAAATTAATTCTATTTAATCTTAAATCTAATCCAAAAACATAATATATGTCAATAATCCATGTTATGCCCCACCCCCCTCCTCAATTTTTTTTTAAATGTTTTTCGTCTGTTAATAAATGTATATATTTTACTTTAAATGTTGTATTGTACATTTTATTTTATTTGATAAAATTATCCTTACTGTATTTTTTTTAACAAAATTATCATTACACCATTATAACTCCATCACTATATATATATATTACCACACACCAACCTATATCATATGCTTTTCCTATTCTTTAATTACTCCATATCATTTTATTAAAATCATCATATAACAATTAATTTAATTATAAATTATATTTTAATTAAATATCTATGAACGTTACGGAGTAAATAATGTGTAATAGAATACATACATACATATATATATATATATATATATATATATATATATATATATATATATTTTGTTATTTCAAACTTCAATTTCATAGAAGTTTCATTATATATTCAGCAATTGGTGCTTTGAATGCACATGCATCATATGTGGAATGCCAAAGAACTCTGTTTTATCAAATTGAATCAATATAAGGTTTACCTGCAGTACTGAAATGAACTGCTTGAATTCCAACATATAATTTATTTTGTTTTATATTATTTAATTAAATATTTGAAACAGTATTAAAGAAAATTAATTTTATTTTAGAAACTTTACAATATATGTTTAGTAACATCCAAACTACTTTTATTTAATTAAATATTGTTTCCAAATGGTTAAAGTTTCTACAACTCCCGCCCTTAGTTTATAATTGTAAAGTCTCTTTCCAAAGATTTGGTTTTTAAAATAAAATAAAAGAAAGTTCCCTAAAAATTGTATTTGTTTCCAATATATGTTATTTATCACTCTTATAAAAACCAGACGAGCAATTACAAAACAATATAATCGAGGTGAAAGAAAATTGAAGAAGAGTTGAATTTGATAGAAGAAACTAAGCAAATGGCTAGGTTTGGTGTGCTGTCAATCGTCCTAGTTTCACTGCTCATCTTGTCATCAGGTTTAATTTATTTATTTCTTCATTAATTATTTTAAATTGTTTTTGAGTTTGAGACATGACGTTGTGGCTTATCATGGAAGGATGTGGCTACTTATTATCAATTAGTTTTAAGTAGTTAACCAAATAGCCAAAGAATTTTGTGGTTAAGGCATAGTGCATCGCTGAGAACCAACATCTATTATATTCAATTCTTTAATATATGAATTGTATGTAATTATATTGCATTTATTATTACAAGGAATAAACAATATGACACTCTTTTTTTTTTTTTTCATCAGATGTTATGAAACCAATCTGTGCCCAAGATCTCAAATGTTGCTTTAACAATCACATTGGAGAATGTATTCCTGGCAATGAGGCCGAAGACAACAAATGTGATGACCTCTGCAAACAAAACAATTGTGTTGGAGGTCACTGCAAAGTTGAAGGATCAAAACCACCCAATCATTTTTGTCATTGTCTTTGTTAGGAAATCAAACACAAAAACACAATGAACATTTAGTAACCATTTAGAATACACCTTTTAAGGGAATGTATCGTATTTAGAATTCATTGGTCAATTAAATATATTACATGTATGCGTAGTTTTGTTAGAAGTATCAACGAATAAAGTTAAACTAACTCCAGTTTTAAATTAGAGTATTATTAGCAGCCTATAAATTAATTTTATATACAAATTTATATAGATTGCTTGTGCATTTTCATTTTAATTTTTTCACCCAAATGGATGTTTTAAAATTTTATTTACAAAAATGACATCATCGGTCTATAATACACTAATCATGTCGTGATCATCACATCAACTACCTAAAATAATAAATGTGGAAATATCCATTTTACAACAATATCAACTTTTTTTTTTTTTAGGATAACAATATCAACTTATTAATATTTTTATTATTTTATTTCATATTAACATTAATTGGGAATAAACTCCTAAAGTATAGAAATTAAACCTTTTCTTTATTTATTTTAAATAAACATAAAAGTATGTATTTCAAAGCTATTTATTAACTAAAATATATTTAAAGTATTTTTGAATATATTTTAGGAATGACTACGAGAAATTTCGAACATTTCTAAGATATATAGATTTCCAAATATTTCCTAAGAATAATATTGTTATAATTCCTAAAATATATTAAGGAAATATTTATATATTTAATTAGTTTGAAAAAAAAAAAGATATAAGGAAATGTTATAAGCGTGTCAAAATATTTTATGGCTTTAGGTATTTAATTTTGGAAAGAGTCCAAACTTTCCAATACTTTAAAATTTTCTTCCTAATTAATATTAATATTAAATACATGAAAAGAAAAATTAATGAATTTGTATAATGTATATATTATAGTAGGAAGGAAAAAAAAAACTAATTTATTATTTAAATAAAACTAGGTTCCATTTTCAAAAAAAAAAAAAAAAAAAAAAAACTAGGTTCCAATTTTAATAATAACATATATATTAAGCACATCTATACTACCAACAAAAACAAAATTTTATTTTTGCAACTTCCCGCTCAAACTACCTCCCAAGCTATTACTATATAAAATCATGGTAAGTAAGTTATTAATTACACGAATATTAGTATAATTAATTAATAATTATTATTGTAATCAAGCTAATAATTAATATAAGGTTATTCCTCTGTGTAATTACTATGGTAATTTTATGTTTATATACACTGAAGCTATAAAGTATAAAAGTATAATTGCACAATATTAGTATAATTATTTAATAATTATTATGGAAATTAAGAAATTAATTGCATATATATTATTATAATTGACTAACAATAATTATGCTAATTAAATTAATAATTACACAAATATTAGTATAATTACATTTAAACATTATTCGTTGAACCCTTTTTATAATTACAAATATGTATGTGTGTGTGTGCGCATATATATATATATATATATATATATATATATATATATATATATATATATATATATATATTAGAAGATCTCAATTCTATTGGTAAATAGAACATTTAATAGAGGTCAGTAGTTCGAACCCCTCTCGTATGGAAAATTTAATCTGGTCAGCACTTTGTCTCTTAATTGGGTCGATCGGTGCGAATGGAGATTAGTCTGAGTATTGTAGGGGCGGCAATTTATATCCTACACCACGGTGCGCATTGCACTATGCGCCCAGATGCAAAACGACGTCGTTTTAATTTTTTTTTTTTTAAATTTCCCGCCCCAGTGAATGGCAGTAGTTTTTTCTTTAAAAAAAAACCCGCTGTTCAAGGATGTACATAATGTTGTACTAGAATACACACAATTGTATACATGAATGTACATAATTATATAACAAAATATACATACTCTTTTTAAAAGATAATACACATAATCTAACATAATACATAATAAACATAAACTTTTAACATAATACACATCAACTATTAACATAATACACACAAATTTTCTGATTTGGATGTACATATAAAAAGAATGTACATAATTGTATAAAAAATGTACATAACTGTATGAACCAATACACATAACTGTATGAACAAATACACATAACTGTGTGAACAAATACACATAATCCCAACAACTTCTTACCGCGCCTCCCAAAACGACGTCGTTTTGGGAGGCGCGCGGCGCACAGTGCTATGTGCGTCGTGGTGTAGGGTATAACGATTGCGTAGGGGCTTAAAGGTATCTTCTAAAGTTACGACCTGCTCAGGTCACCTCATGGTCTGACAACAAAAAAATAGAACATTTAATTTTGGAAAGAGTCGAATACTTTAAAATTTTCTTCCCAATTAATATTACGGAATACTTCGTAATATTGAATACATTAATAAAAGAAAAAATGAATTTGTATATATTATAGTACGTACTACGTAGGAAGGATAAAATTCTGATTTATTATTTAAATAAAAAGTGTTTCCAATTTTAATAATAATGTATACTAAAAATGAGCGTGTATCAAAACTCTATGTTGCTAAATGAATCCTGATCACGAATCACGATAGAAGCATTGACACCCTTATTGATGGCCAAACCACATTATTCATAAAGCCCCTAAGCATCATTTTTGTGAGACATCCCAAACTAGAGAGAGTACTTGCTTTTGAAGAAAATGTTGTTTTTATCTTATGCTCATAGACGATCAAAAAATATATAAAGTTTTCTTTGAAATAAATATTCATCACACTTTTTTATGCTGATCTAATCAATAAAATTAGAGCACATTACAATCTTGATGTTAACTAGTTCATAGTATACCAATTAGTGCTATTCCGACATAACATAGCAATCTCAATTGAATCGATCCAACTATTCGCCTACGCTCTAAACAATATCATGTGAAACAATCAAAATGTTCGTACATTCTAGATTACTGTACAATGCTATAACCCTATAAATATTTGTGTGTAAATTAATTCTATTGACTTATGTGATGTGACGAGCACAGATATGACTATCAAGATTCAGACATTTGTGTGCTTCAAGCACAAGCTAAGGCAGATTGCAACTCGGGTTCGAGTTTATTAGTCATTCAGCTAACCTAAGTATCGTTTTGACCTCCGGCACTTACTCAGGAGTTTCAACATGTTGTCAGTCACATCGAGTGTGGAATTGTCATCTTCTTCACCTTTTTTGTTAATAGTTTGAGTTAAGTATTATTTAAAACTCTCTTGAATTCTGTATTTATAAAATATCTGAGTTAATATTTAGATATTTAACAACGCTATAACTTTTGTAAAGTAAACTATATTTTATTGACTAAAAACAATGTTATAGAATTAGGAACAGTAAATAATATACCAACATTAATTTGAATATGCAAATAAAAAGTCAACAACTTATAGTTCTAATAATATATAGGGAATGGGTCAGGTGCGGGTATAGCTTCCCGTGCGGTTAACTAAAAAAGACGCACCTTAAGAACACGAACCACGCATCTAAAGTTTTAAAATGACACACCTTAAGTTTCAACAACTGACGCACCTTAAGCATAAAAATCATGCACCTTAAGAAGGAAAACAACGCACCTTAAGAAGGAAAATCACGCACTTAAAAATTTAGGCCGACGCACCTTAAGCACACAAATAAAGCACTTTAAGAACACAAACCACGCGCACTTAAAGCTTTAGGCCGACGCACCTTAAGTACACAAACAACGCACCATACGCACACAAACAAAGCACCTTAAAAACACAAACCACGCACTTAACATTTTAAAATGGCGCACCTTAAGAAGGAAAATCATGCACCTAAAGCTTTAGGTCGACGCACCTTAAGTTTCAACACTGACGCACCTTAAACACACAAACCACACACCTTAAGAAGGAAAACCACACACCTAAAACTTTAGATCGACGCACTTAAGTTTTCAACAACCGACGCACTTTAATCACATAGCACAAAAACAACTCACTTTAAGCACAAAAACCACGCACCTTAAATTTGACCTAGATGCAAAAATTACCAAATTGCCATCGTGTTTTTTTTTTTAATTTAATATTGTTAATCCTGAACATTGATTTAGGCAAGACAATGGCTCCGATTTAAACATACAATCGCACGAGACACACCTAGCCGCACGGAAATTGAATTATATGTGTGTGTGTGTGGGTGGGTGGGTGGGTGTTAGCTTTTTATTATTATTATTATTATTATTATTATTATTATTATTATTATTATTATTATTATTATTATTATTATTATTACTATTATTATTATTATTATTATTATTATTATTGGTAGGATATATCCCGACCGACATGGCTCGATTTCTCTTGTTCTTTGTGCAGGTTTGATAGGTCGAATATTCTTAAAGAAGACGGTCGGACCCGACCGGTAGACTTCCCGATCGCCTTTGCCACCCGATTAGCTACCCTTGTTAAGGATCTCGAGAAGAGGCACGTGACAATGTTACACGCTGACAGAGAGGGCTCGCGGGATGGTGACGCGTGGATGCTACGTGGGTTACATGCCGGCCGGCCGGAGCTGTGTCTCCGGCCTAGCGGCTATAAGTACCCACGGCGGCCATAGCGTGGGGGACTTTTGGAACGATCGATAGATTATCTACAGAGCTGCCCGACCGCAGTCAGTCGGCCCTCGAGATAATCACTTAGATTGTATTAGGTCCTTCTTGATCAATAAAAAAACTTTATTTACTTTGTCTTGATCGTATTAAGTACCTTACTGCTTAACACGCGGGATTAGTACTATCAATTATTATTATTATTATTATTATTATTATTATTATTATTATTATTTGTAAATAAAAATGTTATGAAAATTGTGCACATTATTATTAAACATGAAATGAATGTTCGACGTAGTTGTCGATAAATGAGAGCGGAGGGTTTGGAAATGAACCCAAGCTCTAGCCTAGAACTAGCATACATGTTAGTATTGAAAATCATTGGTATAGGTTTTCTAACTTGTTAGAATTCTAACATGTTTGTTAGAAAATAAACTAGATTTTCTGACATGTTTGTTAGAAAACGGGTTTCTAACGCATGTAGAAGCCGTGACTTTTACTAAATGACCAATGTGAAAGAGGCTATTAAAAGTAAAGTAGATTCTAACCTATAGAATAATGCTTGGAAGTTGGAACAGTTTGATCTTCGTCCGGGTTGTAAAACCTTAGGATCCAAATAGGTCTCTAGTCGAAAGATGAAACCGAAGGGTTCCATTTAGAAGTACAAGGTCAAGCTTGTAATTAAAGATTACAAGCAACACAAGTTCCATAGTTACTTCGATACATATTCTCTTGTAATGAGAATAAAATTCATTAGAATGATACTTGTCATAGTCGCACTGCGAGACTTGGAAGTTCATCAAATAGATGTGTAAAACCGCTTTCTTAAAAGACATGGAACAACCTGAGGGTTTTGTGGTTCCAGGCTATGAAAAGAAAGTGTGTAAATTGGTAAAATCATTGTATGGTCTGAAACAATCACCTTAGCAAAGGCACGTGAGTTTTGATCATACAATGATGATCAATGGATTTAGTATAAACAAGTGTGACAATTGTGCCTATGTAAGGAAATGATAGTCGATTATGCCATTCTTTGTCTATACGTGGATGATTTACTCATCGTGGGTGGCAACGATCAAATAATCAAATCTACTAGGAACATGTTAAATTTGAGATTTGACATGAAGGACATGGGTTTGATGAATTAATCTTCAAAAATCGTGAGACAACCAGATGATCTCGTGTTAAGCCAATTTCATTATATTGATTAATTAAATCCTTGCAAAAATTAACAAGGTTGATAATCAGTTGGCTAGGATACCATTAGATACTAACGTACATCTATCCAAAAATCATCGTTTAATATGTAGCTAGGAAAGTTCGAACTTTCCTTGGAATTTAAAAGGTGGGAAAATCATTCCCATGTTTGGTGCAATCTTTGACTTAGAAAAACTTAGGTCAATAGAAATCACATTTCATAATATCAAGGAAAGTAAATCTCACCTAAGGGTGGGATTCTTTTTCTTAGCCTACTGCCAACTTCATTCAATTACATATTTATATTCTTTTTGATGCGATATTGTCATACTATCATGTTAAAATCTCTTATAAATATAAGAAATTTGACACTCCCACTATTACACATTCTTTAGCAAAATATCCAAGTACGTAGTTTAAGTTTTTCCTATGTAATATGATTTATAATTAATGCATATATTACATTTGTATATGCATTACATGTATATATTCCTATGTATATATATGCAGTACTACATATATATACATAGGATTGATAGGAATATACATACATGTGTAGTGTGTGTATTAGTTCATGATTATTTGTAATTTGATTTGTTATGCATTGTAATTTACAGCCTGATTCATTATACATTGTATTATGTATATAACTATTGTTTGCTAGTTTAAGTTTTATGTTTGTATATAGCAAAGATATATTAGAGATTTTAAAAATTTTTCTCGGAAAGTTTAAACGAACCAAACGTGTTAAATAATTTTCCGTGTAATTTAATTGTTATGATTTCAAGGTAGCACCAAACATCTTAATTAATTTTTCCATTAAAGTTATTACCATCAAATATATTCCTTGGAAACATTTTCTCGGAAATTCAATTGATGGGAAAGTACCAAATGCCCTCTTAAGGTATGCTCGTGGCCTTGGATTGCACTATACAAGATATCTTGTTGTATAGCAATGCTAACTTGATATTGAATATTAATGTGAGACCCCAAAATATTTTTCTTCCAAAACTCCTATTTTATCAAATTTCAAAATAAAATTATTTTTATTCCTACGATATTTTTCTAAATAGGTGTTAGAATAAAATATTTTAAATACAAACTATTTATATATATTTATTTATGGTTTTAAAATCACTATTTAAGGCATATATTTATGTTCCAAAACTTTGACCCAAAAGTCTATCTAAGAGGAACTGTGAATCTGATAGAATTGTTTTTAACACAAAAGTGATTTTAAAATGAACCTAACCTATTTCGATATTTATTATATCGTATTTATATTCAAATTTGACTCAACTTTTGACCCAAAATTATAACATAAGGTTTTAAAACCAAAATTCCCATTTTACCCTTCTATCTAGCCGTTCTTTTCAGCCCCAAATGCCCTAGGGTTTCGTGCACCCTATTTAAACAACAGTAGATAGCTTTGCCTCTTCATTCCTCCATCCTTCAGACAATAATTTCAAGCTAGCTAGAGATTTTGACAGTAAGCTTCTTCCTTGTTTCTTCTTCTTCATTCTTTTTCCATTTCCTTCCTTCATTTCCCGAAGCTATAAGTATGTTTATATATGTGTGTATGTTTGTGTTGTTTAGTTTGGAGCCCTAGAAAATGGTGATGAGGAGACCTAACTTGGGGATAGAGATGGAAGGATTCTTGAGGATGGAAAGCTTGAGGTATAACCCATAAAAACCCAAAACTCTCATTTTTATCCTAAGTGACGTTATTATATGTGTTTTGTGTGATAATGTTGGTAGATGTTGTGTTTGTGAGTGATGAATGTGGTGCATGTATTGATGTTATGTTGATGTATTATTTGTGATATTATGTCTTTGGCATGAATTTGGAGTGCTTAGATGTGGTTTTGGACTGCCTTATCCTCCTCAGTTGTACTAGTAGGACTTGCCGCATACCCTAGGTATGCGGCGAATTGAAGCCTGCTAGTTCGTGGCAGGGCCTTGTACCCTGCCAGACACGCCCAATACCACGCAGGGCTTGTTGTAGGGCTTGCAAGCCCTGCCTGCCTAGTCCTGCGTGGTATAGGGCCTGGGTGAAATACCCTTTTTGCCCCTAGGGTCCGGCCACGGTTCGTTTTCGCAAGTTCGGGTGACTCGTACGGCTCGAGACTTGACGTGTTCGGGCCAAAAATATTAAACGTGATTGTTTGCAAATCATTTTCAAAAACAAAGCATGGTCTATTATTTTTTATCAAGTGTGATTCAAGTACGGTTATTAAAAGGTGTGGAGTATGATTATATGAGTGTAAGTTATTATTTGATGAGTCCACTGATGGTATGTTATGGCTTAAAGAAGTCTTATGAAAGTCATTGATCATGATTTATGAATATTTCATACATTTAAAGTGTTCGAGCATTCTTTCAAATGTTTGAGTATTCTTATATCATTACTCAACTATTTTCAAAATCTATATTAAAATGCTTTTAAATACTCATTGTTTTAGAAACATACCCTTATATATTATTACTTTCCTATTTCCCAAACTTATACTTTTATACCAATAAATGTCCATTGTTTTGAAAACCTACCCTTATATAATTATTATCTTTTTAAAAGTATATGCATATATAAATAATTTAACTATGACATTGCATGCATACATGATTTTCCCATCTTATCTCAAACGCAACTTATATTTTCATCACCTACCCCTATCTCTATTTTCAAATACTATGTCTATATTTTATTTTCAAAATAAGCATCATGTATGGAAAGTGTTTTAGAATGACATGCTATCCCTATTTATCCACTTGTGACGAAAATTATATATTTGGAGGTCCCGTTGGAACTCATGTTCCTTCGGAAGAAAAATGAATGATGAATGAGGGTCTGGTCGAAAAATCCTGGACAGTTAATGAATGAAGTAGCTTGGTCGAAAAATCCTGGGTTACTAGGGTTAGATACTACTCGCTGGGCTTGGAATCCCAGTAGGGGGTGTGCACACTAAAGGTACGGTCTGATTCCAAAGATGTATATTTTTGTAGGTGAGATGAGATTAGGCCTGTCGATATTTGCCGAACCCGGATTAGGTTCATCCACGCGTGGTGAAGTTCCTACCTCCCCACCATTATGATGATGATTTAGATATGATTTATGATTGATATTACAGTTATGATCCATGAGATCGATGATACAAATGTGATTCATATGAGAATGATTATGTTACCTCCAGTATTATAAAAGAAATATGATTTTATTGAGAGTGAGAGTGTTTATACTAAATGATATATTTGAAACTATCTTATTATGATACTCCTTTTACTCATGACTACGATTTAAATGCGGTTATTACTTAACCTTTCAGGTTTACTCATTTTGGTGACATAAAGTCATTATTATACCTAATTCTACACTTATGCTTTTCAGTTTACCCTACCCCTATTTACTCATCCTCATTTATTTGCATCTATGCTGCTTGGTGGGTACTTGATAACTGTATAAGCATGCAAGTGAGTTGAGTCTATTCATGTTTATATGTTTATTTAGTGGGTATGAATTTATATATACATAGGTATAAGTGATTCTATATATGTAAATATACAAATATACATATACTTGCGTGATCCTCTATGATCCTACTTGTTGAGTTATGTGTAAATGCCAAAAAAACTATTTTCCAAACCTATATTTATTTTACAGGGTTGAGTGAGTTATACTTAGCATTTTTATTGCTAACCGGGTTCCTTTGTATGTTTTTACTTAACCCATTTCAGGTTTTATTGGTTGATGCTAAGCGCGTATAGAGGAAGTTAGGAACCGTTAGTATTTTGCACCTAGCTCCTTGCGTTTAGTTTTCCTTGTTATGTCTAGCTTGATGTTTAGATCATGGACTTACTATAGTATGCTATGTTTTGGTTAGTACTTAGACACTTGGGCCTGTGTGCCTCGCTTTGCTTATTGATGAGCTGTGACTCTAGTTTGCGGGTCTGTGAACCCTTATGTTTATTTTGAGGATTTGACTTAGCAGTTTAGTCTGGTACCATCCCGGTATAGGTGGTTACGACGGTAGCATCCCCAAACTATTAGTAATGAATGATCTATTTAACTATCTTTACCTTCTTTCCTTTCGTTAAGTGTTGATTTAACCTAGGCTCAGAAGTGTAAATTTGGTGGTGTTACAATTAAGGACTCTAATTGTGTTCACGTTAGTTCGTGCAATCATTTTCTGGAAATTCTCGAAACAATCTGCGATAGCTAGACGATCCATGATGGAACCTAAGCTGACCTTAGACAAGTGTCGTGAAGAGACTGAATAACTACGTCATTTTCTCAAGGATATTCTTAATTGAGAAAAATTTGTACCTCTAATTTGTGTGCATTGTGATAATCAAGTCACAATCGAAAGGGTATAGAGTTACATGTACAATGGTAAGTCTAGACTTATACGTCGTTGACATAATACCATTTAAAACAACTTCTCATAACTAATGTTATCTTTGTTAACTATGTAAGGTCAAAGGATAATGCAGTGGCCGCTAACTTGAGGGTAAGCAAATATTTGTTAGAGAAGTTGAAACGAGGAATGAGACTAAAGCCCTTGGAATACAAGTTCTATAGTGGATACCCAACCTAGTTGGCACATAGGTTCAATGAGACAACTAAATTATAAAACGAAGCGTGTCACTGTGGGTGTCTTGGACTCCGAACCACTCCTTGTTGGAACAGTGACTCCCGCACGAGGTCAGCACGTTGGTGCTTTAATGATTCAAATGTCGGTTGATATGTGTGAGTATGTGTGATATATACTCGGAAAAGAATCGTCTATGTAAGAGAGAAGAGGGACCGCTTCAAAGGGGAGTTGACTAGGGCTCAATTCTTTAGAAACTCTTGCAGAACCAGGAAGGTGACCCGTGGCCAAAACGGACACATCCATGAGAACAGAACAAAGGTTGGAAGGTTCCTGTGTGGGATATGTCATCGTCTACACAAGCGGTATTACGGATCAAAGACATCGCGTTCTACCAGACAACTAGTAGAGTAAACATATTTTCACAAAGGAAGGTACAAAGGGTAACACCTACGTATCGTATGCAGGGATCAACTGCTAAACATAGTCGTGTCATTTTTTCAGTCCTGAAAATCAATTTTCATTCATGTGGGGAATTGGTGGAAATTTTAGCCAAAATGAAATTTTTAAGTGGCTATTTCGTGGTAAAATATATGTGCGGTCTATTTTCGATTTGGGTCGGGTCAAACTGGATTTAGATTCTTCGAGGCGAAGAAATTGATATATTGTATGCTCAAAATAAATATTGGGTGAATGAAAATTTAATTCTCAAAGTACTCATTTAAGTGGAAAATTTTGGATCATTCGAAAATTAGTAGGCCTTGTGAGTTACGTTATGTCAAATTTTTTGAAATAAATTTTCAATTTGTACAAGAAAAATCAAATATTACAATGCAACGTGATGAGCCACCATGTGATGGGAATGCAAATGCAATAGAGAAATGTATTGGGAATGCACTTCTTGGGTGAGTATTGGTAATTAGCACCATAAGGTGCTAATTTGTTAGCACCCTTCGTGAGGTGCTATGTAGCACTGTAAGGTGCTAATTATGCATTTATGCACCTTACGGGAGGTGCAATTTGCAGCACCTCTCGTAATTTGTAAGTTACCTTTCGGTGGTTAATGAAAGGTGATTTTTTGGTGATAATTTTTGGGGGGCGTTTGGTTCAAGTCATCTTAGATTACCTAGGTAATCTGAGTATGGTAATGTTATATTATCTTGTTTGGTTCAAGTTATGAGATTACCAGGTAATGTTATATTACCTGAAAGCTGATGTGGCGGTAATGTTTCAAGGTAATGTGATTACTCCCATTTTTTTAGGTAATCTTAGATTACCTTGAATTATTCCAACTTTGACCTTGTTAACTAGTCCTTATATAATAATAATAATAATAATAATAATAATAATAATAATAATAATAATAATAATAATAATAATAATGAAATTAATATATGTTTATATAATCAAATATACATGTGTATATTTATATATTTAGTTTTTTTAGTATTTAAGCTTTGATATACATTCATAGTTCATAGATGTAAATAAATACACACACATAATATATATATATATATATATATATATATATATATATATATATATATATATATATATATATATATATATATATATATTATTGAGGGCATTATTGTAAATTGATCCATATAACCTAAAATATAACTATGAACCAAACAAGGTAATATTATATTACACCATCCAAACCAAACACACAAGGTAATCTTACATTCCTAAAATTTCACATTACCTTCCAGGAGGTAATCCTAATACCTGGGGTAATCCAAAATTCCGTGAACCAAACGCCCCCTTGGGATTATATGGACTTTTCGATCACTTAAGTGTTTTGAAACATACATGTTATTAATGATTGATATGAATTAATTGTATTTAATTTTGTAACAACAGATATTACTTTAATATTAAGTATAATCATTTCAAACATTATTAATTAGATTATTAAATCTGATTATGAGCCATTTTAATGTTAAAATTTATATCATCCCGTAAAGCGTAAGTGTTTGGGCAGATTTTAAAACTTCAAAAATTGTGTTCTCATACTCCTAACGTTGTCTTCTCCCTCAAAAATACTCTGCCCATTCATTCTTTAAAAAAAAAAATTGTTTTCAAATTTTTCGTTCTAGTTCGCCAAGGTACTATAGTTTCTGTGATCGAACTATAATATTATTGATCTATTTTATCATGGTGAGACTGATATTACAACACTCCTAGCACTCTGAGAGATAGCGAATTAATTTTAAATATATTTTTATACTTTATATATTTTATAATATCAACTTATTCAGTTATTCGTCCTACATATACTCCCTATTAGTATTTTTTATGCGCGATGCGCAAAAAGTAAGTGCCCAATATTAGTACTTTATATTAATTTTTTTTTTTGAGGGTAAAATTTTAAATTTATTTAGATTTTAGATATTTAAATTATTGTAAATAATAATAATAATAATGTAAAATATTTTTATAAATTTGATATTTATATTTTAAGAAATAACTAATATATAACTCTAATATATAATGTATATTATTATTATTATTATTATTATTATTATTATTATTATTATTGTTGTTGTTGTTGTTGTTGTTGTTGTTGTTGTTATTATTATTATTACTGAAGAAGAAGATAAGAAAATATATGGTGGATGCACGTGCATGGTAACAATAGTGAAAAAAATAACGGAAGTTATAATGGTAGGGGTATGTTTGTCCAAAATATTGTAAGGTACAACTTTTATAGCATAATATTAAAAAAAAAAAAAAAAAAAAAACTTAACGGAAAAAATAGACATAAATGAAAAGTATAACTTTCATTCACACTTATTATGTTTTTAGATTATATTATACACTTGAGATATAGCTGAATTAATCAACCAATTTAAAATAAATTTAAATTAATCGAAATATATATCTCACAATTTATATGGAACCTCAAGTTTAGAGTGTAAACTTAACTTATATCTTACCCTCACGACTTGAACTCCAATTTTCCGAATTGTCTGTTGATAATAATGGGCGTTGAGAGCGACGGTTTTCTAGTGTTTACTTTTTGTCTTGTGATAATCCGGTAATAATGCTCACAAATGCCTACTCGAACGGTATCACAAATTCGGGTTTTCGCGTAGAATTTTTCTTGAATTGATCATCTGTTTTTTGCTTGTCTGGGAATTTTATGTCTGTTCCCAATAAAAACCGATTGGGCGCTTGTAAGGAACATCGATATAGATCGGGTGGAGATGTTGGACCGAGTGGCGACGGCAATGACGAAGAAGGCGATGGGGCGATGGATACGGGTGGGCGAAAAGAGGGAGAGGGGGAGGGAGATGATAATAGGAAGAAGGGGAAAAAGGTGTCGATATTAGGGTTCCGAAAGGTGAAGAGGAATATCCAGAGGAGGAAGCAGAAAGGCAATTCTGCTGGCAGAGCGGCGTATGGGCGGTGTTTCTTGTGCTTGAAGCCTCCGCGGGCTATGGATTCTCAGAGTCAATCACAGGCAAGTGATCCTAATAGCCCAGATTTTGGTTATGAGATGTTGAGAGTGTTGATTGAGAAGAATGATTTTTATTCCAAAGAATGCAACCCACATTTGGATGAACAATTTGTGCCCTCTTGCCCTCACCAAACTATTGTCAATAAATGTGAAAATTGATGAATTGTTCTTTGCCATTTTATATTGTAAATTTCTTTCTGAACCAATATTGATGCTCCAATTTGGAAAAAAAAAAAAAAGGAACAAAAGTTTTGAAATCTAATGTTATACTGTTGTGTTCATAATCTGTGAGCTTGACTCTTTGCTTTAAGTCCAAGATCATATTCATTTTAAAGCTGTTGTATAAGGTGATGAGGAAAGTTCATATTTTCCAAAATTTATCATCAATTTGGCTGTATTCAACAATGCAAACTATCTTTTCAGAGACTATTCAAGGATTTATATTATTGGAGCAGAATTCCTTGGCACAGAGAAAGGTCTAGATATTGTAGTTATATTGTTATACATACTGGTCATGGATTGGACTGTAAGCTTTTATTTTGCTATAAAACAAACTTCCTTCTTGTTTTCAAGCAAATAGAAACTTCAAAAAGTTGCTATTTTTGGGAATTTATGGTTGCTTCAGTTTGGAACAGTTTCCAGCGGCTATTGGAGAAATTCAAGCAGAATTTCTTGTTGCAGTGTTTGAATTGTTGGTTTAGTTTTGAGGTAGACTGAGGTGAGATGCATTTGCTTTGATTGGGAAGGGGGAACTGAGGTTTCTCCGTGATGAGCAGAGGTCGGTGAGAGGTCAAGTCCAGCGATGAACATGTTTGGTTTTACTTTAGAATGAAAACGACATATTATGTGCCTTCAATTTATTTACACAATTACACATACATAATCTATTAACTGGAGACATATTTTATTATTTTATTTTAATTGAAGTGACATAATCTAATGTCACTTTGGACCAAGGTCTAAAGTGGTCAATATGATAAATGACCCCCTTTTTGCGCCAAGGGTGGTGGAACTTGAAGAACATTATTTTGGAGTGCAAGAATTGGATTAGAAAAGATTGGAATGTCCTTTGTTGTTACATTTTGTGGGAACAAAATCAAGTTGCGGACTAGTTAGCCAAGAACTATAGTGTTGAGCCTGACCTGGCCCTTTTGTATTTTTGCCCGGATGCCAATCTCGCGACTCTTGTTCAAAAAGATGGTATGGGGTCCTTTCGATCCGTGGTGACTAGTGGTCTTGTTTCCCGGGGTTCCACCCTTCCCTTTGTTCAAAAAAAAAAAAAAAAATTCTATGGACCATGGTCTACACAGTTGTGTGGACCACAAATAAAAAATACATTATTTAGGTACATAAAGTATATTATTTGAGTACTGAAAGTATATTATTTGAGTACTGAAAGTATATTATTTTTGTACTATCAAAGAATGTACATTAAATACACACATAATGTACTTTTAGTATGTTAAAAATGTATATTGTATTCAGGAAAAATACATTATTTGAGTACTAAAAGTACAATATTTTGTATAATATACATTCAGTACACAAATAATGTATTTTTTTTTTTTTTTGTGATCTCATAAAAATTTGTCAATGTAGGTGGCATGGGCTTATTGCAAATTATTGTGTGGACCATGATCTATATAAGTTGTGTGGACCATATTTTGTATACTATAAAATAATGTACATTCAGTACAAAAATAATGTATATTTAGCACAAAAATAATGTACATTGTATTTAGGGGATGTACATTATTTTTGTACTGAGTGTACATTATACAATATAATGTACACTTAGTACAAAAATAATGTACATTTAGTATATTAAAAATGTATTTTTTATTGTGACTTACATAACATTGTGTGGACCAATAATTTGCCGGCCTATTGGGGCTGGGTAGGTAAATTAGGCCGGTGAAATTTATTGGGAAAAATATTAAAATGAGGTGGAAGGAGAGGGGGTTGGGGCGCAAATTTGGTGGAGGACCGTCGGGGACAACTTGTCCACCGCCAGGGCAGGCATGGCCGGACATATGAAAGGTGGTGGAGAAAGGTGAGGAAACCTTATCCACTAGGTAGTCCTAGAATCTCTGGTATCATTATCAACATTCACAAAGAGTTTTTTGGGTTATTGCGTTTATTTCCCCCTTGTATGAAAAGTGTGTACTTGGGAGCAAGTTATTCAATCGTTATGTTGTGCAATCGTGTGCACACCGTTGCGAACGACGCCATTTCATTATGATGGAGTAACGGTATTGTTAGTGACACTGTTTAACTCTACCAATCAATTTTTTTTTTTCACTATTGTCAACCGAGGTCTACTTTTTTTTTTTTTTTTTTTTTTTTTCAGGTATTATGCATTTTATGAAAATATATAATTCACTAATTCTGAATTTATAGTTCATTAATTCTGAATATATAGTTAATTCATTTTGAATACACAGACGCAACAAACTGCCATAAGCCAAAACAGAGTACCAGTAATCGGTGTGGATATATAGTTCACTAATTCTGGATATATAGTTTTCATTAATTCTGAATATATTGTTCACTAATTCTGGATATATAGTTCATTAATTCTGGATATATAGTTCACTAATTCTGAATTAATAATTCATTAATTCTGAATATATAGCTTATTCATTCTAAATACATAGACGCAGCGAACTGCCATAAGCCAAAACAGAGTATCAGTAACTGGTGTGGATATATAGTTCATTAATTCTGGATATATAGTTCTTTAATTCTGAATATATAACGCCGTTAATGACAATCAAAAGTAATTTTTTTTTAAAGTCGTTTTGCAACCGTGTGCACCATGCACCATGCATGGTGATCACGGTTGCACGACATAATTTGCGCAAGTTATTCAATTGAGCCTATGATTTGGGCTAGTAGTCCTGGTTATTTATTTCTTTCCATTTTATTAATTATTTATAGCCTTATTGTAGGCTTGCAGCATACTAAGGGCCTAGAGGCTAGAGTCTTATTAATATTCTACAATTATTTTCTTGAAATACCTAGCTTATGGTGACCTTGATCCATTAAAAACCATCATTCATGGGGAATGCTATGAAAAGTGTGTATTCCTAAAGTTTACCCAATCTCATACCGCTTTATTCGTCCGTTAACAATTAATCGTAGTAATATGTTGGATCATGAAGCAAACGATCCTAAGCAGTTAGTTAAAATGAACTAAGCACAATTAGTCTTCGCCGTTACGATAGGACTATCATTCAATAGAATGGATATGAATTTTATCGTAGTCAAGTTGACATCCACACACAACATTATCAGGGATAGCCCAAATTTAAAGGTTTGGGTTGTCTCATCTCCTTTGGAGCGCATATGCATGAAGTTCCATACTCCTAGCGCATTAGGGGTGTTTAGGGTAGATCAACACTTAGTCTAAAAATGTGACATGAAGGTGTGCCAAAATATAGGACAAGAATAGATATCGGTGAACACTATGAGGTGAAAAACTCAAAAAAAAACAGAAAATAAGGAAGGGCATGGAACCAATTGTGGAATTTGAAGAGGTGATGTTGGATCAAATTCACAGGAACCGATGTATAAAAATCAAGAAAAGACTACCTATGAGCTTATTAAATGAAATAATTGATCGAGGTCATTAGGAGGTATCCTAGAGACATGAGGATATGTGTGTGATAGACAGATCAATCATCACCCATAACCTGGTGGTTGACCTGTCATACAAACTCGTGCAATAGAAACATAGCTAGGCATCTATCCTATCAACGGAAGGCATTCGTCAAAATAGAGGTAGACACTTTGCTTGGAATTGAATAAGCCACATAAGGAAGGTGATGTACCCTAAATAGAGGTATGCCCATAGGATGCGTTCTTATGGCCAAGGATATGATGGATTGGTTGGTCGATAAAACTATGGGTTGTGAGTTCTTAACTTCTATGGACACTTCAAGGTGCACCATTAAATCTTCACGTAGTAAGAAGATGATGAAAACACTGCATTTGTAACTTTAAATGGAGTTTATTGCTACTGAGTATGACTTTCAAGCTCAACTACTCTGGATCAGATCAACGTGCATTTGGATAGTCGAAAAAGTATTCAAGGATATCCTAGGCAACAAAATGGAAGCGTATATGGATGATATGTTGGTAAAGAGCTAGGAACTCAGTCTCATCCCTTCGCGTAAGCCCAAAAAAATGTGTGTTTGTGATAAAAGGGTGGCGAGGACTAGGAGGTGGGGTGGAGGAGGAGGAAGATGAGGTGTTTCTTCGATTCATGGTCACACATAGAAGAATTGAGGTGAATCCAAAAAAGACTACTTAAGCAATTCTAGACATAAAACAAAGGGAAGGCTTCACCTAAACGCCAGAATGTCAATAGGCTTTTGATCAATTCAAAGTCTACATAAGCTCAACTCGAATCCTATCTAAACTGGAGAAAGAAGAGATGACTATGTATATCTTTCTATGGGTGGCCTAAGTTTCAATAAGTTTTGTCTTATTGAGGAAGATACCAAAGTTCAAAATTTCATATACAATGTGAGTAGCACTACATGACATTGAGATAAGATACACACACCTGAAAAAGATAGTATATGTGATGGATTTAATTAACCCGGGGTGGCCCGAATTATTAAACCCCGGATAAGAATATGAATAGGGAATAAATGGAACGATGTCGTAAAAGGCCGTGAAAACCGTATATCGTATTAACTGCCGTAAATAGGCTATTACAATTATTTGCTTAGGACAAAGTATGTAAGAATGGTAGAATGTCCCTTGTTAGGATAGAGGGAGGGCTTTTTTATACAAGCTGTAGGCCTCCCAACCGCTCCCAATAGGGGGAGGCGGTTATCTCCGTTTTGACCTCTTTGACCGCGCCTGGTCCGAAGACTAGGCAACGCGGCCGAGGTCGTGTGCCGACCCCGTGCCTAGCTCGAGCCGACCCCGTGCCTACCTCGAGTTGACCTCGTGCCGACCCCATGCCTAGCTCGGGCATGTAGCCTTGCCCCGGGGCCCGTTCTTGCCCCGCGCTCTCGGATCGGTTCGGGTCAATGTATAATATATCCATCATCAGTCCCCCACTCTCCGAGTTGCGAGTGATCGTCAATGGAGGAGAGTAGATGCTAGACGCTCTGGCTAACCCGCCAAAAATGCCGACCTCCCGGTATCCGCATCTGAGGTCGGCTGCCGACCTCCTGCCGAGGCGGCTAGCTCGGGCACGTCGCGTCGCCCCGGCGCCTCGTTTTTGCTACGTGCTCTCAGGTCAATTCAGATCCATTCGTAATATATCCATCAATATGCATTGATCATACATTATAAATTTGGAGTATTACTTCCAGGCCAAACAAGTCCAAACTTGCCGAATTTGGCATGTTTAACCAAGTGTTTAAGCAACCTTGGTTGGAGAAATTTTCAACTTGGCCTGAATAACCTTAGTCCGTTTAGCCCGTGGGGTTACACAAGTTGGCCCGTGTAGGTCGCGGGCCAACTCGTATAACCCTGCCATCCCCCATACCTAAAGTTTATCCAAATATATTTGTAATTTAATTGGGGTTTGTGTGGATATTTAAAAATATTATTAATAAGAAAAATTGAACTCTTAACCTTTCAATTAATTTAGCCTAAATGAAACCAATTACACTAACCGAACTAGTTAAGTTTTTATTGTATAACTAGTATTTGTCCCGTGCGTTGCACGGGAAATATATTATAAAAATATACCATATATGAGGTTTATTTATATATAAAAATTTTGTTATTTAATAATTATTATGTGTGAAATACTATGATAAAATTATGAACATAAATATATTTACAATTAAAAT